TTGGGATATGATCATAGCTGTCAAGACGCTTTTTTAGATATTTGGGCCCACAGGTCTCGCATTCGACATACCATGTTCGTTTAGAGCTAGTTTTCACCCGGAAAGTCTGACCATGTCGTAAGTTCCATTCTCCTACCGCCGCCTGTGCCTCAAGCTTGTTGGAGAAATGTACATCAAGGTCAACCGTCATTGTATTGCCGTCCCACATTTTTTCAGAATCTTTAGGCTCAAAAGACTTGTCTCATCCACTGATGTCGTCGAAAACATATGGTACTGAAGAAGATGCATCAAGATCAGTGTCGTCATATGAGTCCTCATCTGATGGGACGGGCTCATCGTCGCTACTTTCAAAGCCCCCGCCATCTTCATCTTGATCTTCATCTCCATCTACATCTTCATCTCCATCTTTGTATTCTGAAATGTCTTCATTGTCTTCAATTGTTCTACCACTACTAGTGCCTGCACCAGTATCCTGGCCAGATGTACTTGCATAAACATGGTCTATGCTCTCAATATTTTCAGGGTACAATCCGGGCCATTTATCAGTACAAAGATAAAGGAACCGTACAATGTTATCATCATTAATGTGCACATGACACCTCCTCCCGGACCTTTCCATTCATACCAAAGTAAAATCAATGTACAACCCTTCTCTATCAACTTCCATAACACCTAATACCTTATCAACAAATTCTCGAAAATCCAACATACGATCGATAATAAGATAACCGTCCTGCGCATTATACTGTACCGCGACAGTCCCATCAGGTTGAGTAATATAAGTTGTATTCCAGTAGACTTTCAAACGAATTGTCTCCGTAAAAGACACATTGAGGCCTGCAAAATCAATTTTTACGAAATCTGAACACTAGTTTCAACATAAATACATTTTTAACTTTAGTTTTATCGAAATAGTATTTACCCATTTACAGATTTAATAATTCAAAAGAACAACCAATCGCCTTAATTTTATAATTCATTTCTATGCTAAAAGAGTTTTAAAAACTCAATCTGGGGTATTATTAAAATTTTTCAGAAACTAATATACAATAAATTTCAAGAATCATCTAATTTAATAATAGCACACACAATCTTCGATGGTATTTACATATTTTACAATCAAAGAATTTAAATTAATATTAAATCTGAACCTTGTGCACGAATTAAATAATTTATTTTTATGCTAAAGATATTCAAAAATTCAATTTTAATATTATAATTGTTTTTTACAGAAATCAATATACAATAATTTATAAAAGTCATCTAATTTAACATTCTTTTAACTAACATTTCTTTCAAGTCACATTATCAGCCTAATTTAAAAATTTAATAGTTTAGTTCATTAAATAACAATTATTTATTCACTAATAATGAATCAATAATACCAGAATCACAATAAGGCCTAAAAACCGTACATGGTTTTCATAACGAAAAAAAATTACCTGAATGTTGAAAATCTGAGGTTAAAGTAGCTTCCAAAACTCAAATCAATCTTCTTTAATTTCAGGGCAACGTCTCCAATGGAAGAAAATGAGAGATTCTTGGACTCAATAGCTTCTAACCTTCGCAGCAAAACTCAAAATGGGCGCAAGAACAGAATGAAAATATATGGGTTTTGAAAGAAATGGCGTTTTTCGATTGGTTTTGGTATGTTATTACATTGGAATTCGCATTTACGCAACGCGAAATGTCCAATCGTTATCAGGAAAAGTATACGTGTCAACAAGCAAATGGTGGAATGGGATTCTCTAGATAATTCCGCGTGTTTAAAAACGGAAAAATAAAAATTTGCGTTTTCAAAAAATGCTAAAAATAAGAATTCGCGTTTTCAAAACGCTAAAAGATTTATCAGTTTTTTAAACGCGTACTTTAACCGAGATGATTTTTCTTTTTTAAAAAAATGTTATTATAATAGTTTCGCGTTTTTTAAACGCGAATTAATTATGTTTTAGCGTTTCTATAGCGCTCTAATTTATTTTCGCGTTTTGAGAACCCGATATTTTTTTTTAATTTTAAAAAAATAATAGTCAACCGTAGTTTCTTTTTTTTTTTCTTATTTTCCCCGGGTCAATACTTTAAAAAAATGATTAACATCTTTTGTGTTTTCAAAACACGAAAAAATTGCCCTCGGTATTGGCACAAGTACTGTTACCACCGTGCAAAAAAAGCAGAACCGGAAATTGTGTTTCTAAAATGCTAATATTTACACATCTTTTTGAATTTTTTCCAGTTTTTAATCAGGATTAAGTATATTAAAATTTAAGAAGTTACTTTTAAAATTTAAAGTTTCGCATTTGGCAAACGCTTTTATTTGATTTCGCATTTTTGAAACGCAATTTTACTTTAGCGTTTTCAAAATGCTACTTTATTTTTATTTGTATGTCTTCTTCTTTTTTTTCGGATCAGTTTTTCAAAATATTAATGAGTAAGTTTCGCGTTTCCGAAACGCGGATTTTTATTTTAATTAAGTGTTTCGCGGTTTGAAAGTGCGAGAACATTAGAATGTCTAATTTTGAAACCCTAGACATATTTTCTTCTACGACTTTGGGTCTGAAATCCGTAAAGTCAAGCACATTTCTGTTTTCTTCCGGAAGTTCGAACGTCAACGGCAGCCCCGATTAGTATATATTTAAGATAAATAGTAAATAGAAAATATTAACTATTTTACTAAGTAAAAGTTACTGTGTAATGAAATACCAATAAAAAAATGACATGTGTCTTGGATGCTATTATTTTCTAATTAACTGACATCTGTCTCTTCATCAAAATTCCTTTCATATATCTTATAGATTAAACATTTACATTTAATGGTCAATATTAAAAATTTATTCCCCTCAAATTCAGGCCCAACACCGTTTGCACCATTATTAACTGTTAACACCAAAAATTATTTTTTAAAACTTCTCTCTTGTACGTGCTTTGTATTTTATAGAAAACAGAGTTTTGAAGATTATAAGTGGACTCTATAATTAAAAAAAATACTCAGACATAATATTTACACATATGTCATCGTGACTGATAGAGAATTAGGTCTAATGAATCCTATTTAAGATGTTGTTCCCATAGCTTTCAGTTTTTTGTGTGTTTGGCATATTGAGACTAATATATTGTCTAATTGTAAAAATTATTTTGATTAAAAAAAAAGCGGGAAGAATTCTCAAATATCATGTTTTAATAAATTCTTTTTTTACGCGGGTGTGGGAAGTTTTATTTTAAGATCATAGGAGATGGGATGGAAAAAGTACCACAAGTTCCTTTCTTTTTTTTTTTTCTTTGTCTTGATTTGTGATAGGAGATTGGCTGTTTATGCATGGCTTGGAAGTTTTACTTTAAGATCACACAAAAGAGAAGAAGAAAGTAGAGATTGGCCAGTAAATGTTTAATATTATAATGAGAGAAAATTTTATTTAAACCATAAAAGAAGTGAGAAAATAAAGGAAAGTAATTGTAGCAAATGTGTTAAGATTCTACATAAGGATAATATTGACAATTGAAAAAATTTGCTCTTTATATAACAAAATAGTTCTATAATTATTAATTGCCAAATAAAATAGGAATACACATCAGTCGCTCTATACATTTTTACTATCATTATCATTTTCCATTATCAAAAGTCTTCAAATATTTGTAAACACGTCTCTATGGTTGCGTTTATAAATTTAAAAAGACACGAAAAAACATATGCAAAGTAAAAAAAAATTGCCCTATTGTTCACATCCCTTGTTAAAGAAAATTGACTATAATGATAATCATCTATAGTACTTACTTAAAGCAACAAACACGAATGACACGTGTCAGCTCCAGAATTAAAATTTTCCCTCCAAAGCTTCTTAGCGCTTCTCAGTACAAAATAGAATCAACGAGAATGCGCCACGTGGCTTCATATATGTGCGGAAAATTTCAGTTGTGATTCCATTTTCAAATGAACAAATTAAATTTAAATATTTAAATTTGAAAACCTTTATTTTAGGGAAGAAACTAATAATTTACGTCTGGCAATAAGTGCTGTTTTAATTTTCCTATAAAACAGCAGCAAAACTGGTTTGTGTAACTGAATTAAATAGTATGTATCGATCACAAAATAGGAACTCCAAAAAAGAGTCCATAAATATAAAAAACAGATTCAACCTAAAGAAACTAAATTGGTGGATTGGGGTACTAAGATGTGCTCCTTAAAACTGTATTTCCACCATTCCAGCGAGAAAAATTGTCAAGATAAACAGTTTCAGATTTGATAGTCTTCCACTTCATGTATTATTCTTTTCACAGTAATCATCCCATCAGCATAGTCAACGCATTTTTCAGCCTTAAATTCTTGTGTTAAAAAAAGAAATGATCACAGCATATCCCTTATTCAATGGGGATAATATAATCAGTGAACAAAATTTGCTGACATGCACATTGTGTGTAGAAAATCACCATATCAGTCATTTCACAGTAACTTATGGAAATTGTAATGCATTTAAAACTCTAAAAGGATTCATATGAAAGGAATTATACTGGAAATCAAAAAAACCAATCAACTGAAATTTTGCACACACGTATATATCTGCAAGCTTTCTGTGCATATCATCAATCACTTTCCAAGCACACAACAAATCTCAAAATATTTGCCTTTCAGTAACCATTATCATCACAAATTAATTTACACAAATATACTATGAGCCAATATGTTACCTGCATAAATAAATCTATCATCCTCATATGATCCTGCACCAGACCATTCCTCCAATTTGCAAAAACCAAATTTGTTTTGCACAAACGTATATATCTGCAAGCTTTCTGTGCATATCAACAATCACTTTCCAATCACAGAACAAATCTCAAAATATTTGCCTTTCTGTAACCATTATCATCACAAATTAATTTATACAAATATACTATGAGACAATATGTTACCTGTATAAATACAAGTAACATCCTCACATATCCTGCACCAGACCATTCCTGCAATTCGCAAAACCAGATTTTCAGATTCTCATATTACCCATATCTTACTAATGGCTGAAACAAACCAAACTGCAATTTCAGTTGTTGAACCTGAAGATTTTGTTGAAACTGTGAATGAAAATACTGTGGATAATCCAATTGTCATCCCATCTGAAGATGTCATTGCTACACCACCAAATGATGTTGGTGCTACAGGTGTTCCCATACTTGCTGCACAAAGATACATCGTTGACATCAATGGATTGATACAAAAAGCAACCATTTCACCATAGTTGTCAAGTGACGACACTTTGGGAGGTTCCATAAGTATCCAAAAAAAACAAAGTCAAGTCTGTTGAGATGTGTTTGATCGATGCTCAGGTATTCACTTTTCCACCATAATTGGTTTTAGAGTTTTCTCATGCACAATTATTAAACTGTAGTATATGTTATTACCTATTTGTATATATTTATCAGGGAAGCAAAATTCAAGCAACCATTCCTGGAAGAATTGTGAAAGATTTTACAAATTCTTTCAAAGAAGGTTGTGTTAGACGATTATCAAGATTTGACAGTTGTCTTAATATTAGTGGGGGATTCAGGTGTGCTAAGCACGAATACAAAATTGTGTTCATGTCAAACACAAATGTTGAAGCTGCATTTGATTTTGACATCCCAGATCATGTGTTTGAGTTCACACCATTGGTAGAAGTTACAAACTTTGTGGCCAACTTTGATTATTGTTTTGGTGAGATGATTTTAAAGTTGTGGTGAAATTTCCTTATAAAGTTTGTATAAAAAGTTTAAAATATTTTCAACTATGTAGATTTGATAGGCCACATCATGGCTTACAGCGATCCAATTGTTAAAAATGGAAAGAAGAGGATTTCAGTGGAGCTTGAAGATGAAAGGTCAATGTTACTTTTTTTTTACAGTCTAAATAGAAATTATTCATATTGGATTATACTGTAGGAATTAAAACATTGGTACTACAAAAATGTCTTCTGTTTTGCAGGGCTAACAAGCTAAAGGTTGCTTTATGGGGTGAACATACTGATCAAGTCACTAAATACATGTCTAACAATCCTCCATCTCCTGTGGTTCTCGTTGTTCAATATGTTAAGTGCAAAAAATACTACTGTGAGTACTCTTTAGTGACTTATATGTATCTGAATGTACTCATATTAAATTAAAGTTTTTGAAATTGCTATAATCATCATGTAATTTTTTTACTATGTAACAGCAAAAGCTTTTGTTACTACTAATCTTTTCAATGGGAAGATATATCTTGATGATATGGCAATACCCGACATATCAGAGTACAAAGACAGGTATAATTATTCTTACTAACTGCTGTAATTATCACCATATAGTTGCATAATTACTGTTTTATTCATAACTACTGTTTCTACATCAGTAGTTGCATAATTGCATAATTACTGTATATATTTTCATAACAGAAATCTCACTATATAATTCCATTTACCTTGAAGGTAAAAGTCTCACATACCATAAAGTTGCATAATTATTGTTTTATTCATATTGTAATTATTTGGAAACAATATATACAGAAGTAGGGCCAATGAAATGAAAGCTGCAAGTATCCAAAAAATTTCAATGCTTTCACATGGTTCTGGATACACATCTTATGAAGAATTCATAAATGGAGCAAAACTTTTGTCATTAGGTGACATAGATGATCTTGATGAGGTAACATATTAATAGTGATAATTATTTTATCATTTGCGTACATAACTATGTTATCTCCATGATCTATGAATGTATAAACATATGAAAACTATATTTTTTCAGGCAGGGTATGTTGTGATTTTTAGCAAGATCACAGGCTTAGCAAAAGAGTATGAATGGTCATACATTGGTTGTAGAGATTGCAACAAGAAGGTGAAGGAAATTGAAAAAGAAAAAGGTACCCGTATTGTACCATCAACGAAAGGAAGAAATACCAGTGACAACAAGAAATTTGGTCTTCAGAAAAAATGGTTTTGTGGTAATCATGGCCCTGTGTCTGCTGTTGGTCCAAAGTATTTTTCGATAATTTACAGTCTATTTTTGGAATTACAATATTAAATAATATGTTGTTATCAAACTTTTTAATTTGTTACTCTGTTATAAACTATTTTCCTCTATGATTTTATGAATAGGTTCAAGTTACAAGTGTATGCAATGGATGCTACTGGCAGCAGAATTTTGACCCTTTGGGACAGGATGGTCTACAATTTTATCAGTAAGTCTGCAGAAAAACTCCGTGAACAGGTTTTATTCATTGTTTTTAATGTGTACATTTTATTACTAAAACTTTTGTATGTTTTTTTTATGACCATCATCATGTATCCAGGCAGGAAAAGATTACCCTAAAATACTAGATGAGATTGTTGGCAAGAAATGTCTGTTCAGGTTGGATATCTCTAGATACAATATCAGGAATAGTAGTAGTGAGATTTCTGTTGCTAGGCTTACTACTGATGCAGAAATAATCAAGAAGTACATTGATGATGTTTATGAAGATCAGGTTTGTTCACTTTTTTATATGGTCATATAAAGTTTAATAGATTTGTACTTGATTTAAAGAAGACGCACATGATAATCTAAGTTTATTCCTATATTATAAACAGGAAATTGATCTGGAGATGTGTGCAGAGTTTTACCAAAATTTGACACCTACTCGGGATAGCACCACCAAGGAAAAATATACTAAACAAATATATTTACTTTATTTAAAATAGCAATATTTGGATGACACTTACATGTTTCATTATTTGCAGACTGCAGTATCCTGCACTGGAGATACAGAGATAGGGAATCGGGCCGATGACATGGCTGACAGTCTTCCTCCAAAAAATAAAAGTGCAGGAAGTTGCGGTGAAGACAGTGTCAAATCCAATCCCAACAAACGTGTCAGAAAATGTTGATGTCGATGAAAGCACTTGCTATTTCCTGCTTCAACAATAAACATACACTTTAGTTTTTTAAGGTGTTCCCTATAGTCAGAATTGTTATTCTGATGAAACATTGTTATTTTTACAGTCTTCTCAGTACCGTTATACTTTTTTGGTGCTGTGGATATTTAATTTCTTTTGGTATTTGAGGATTTCAGTTTTTTCATGATTAATATCTACTATTATCTAGTTTAATGACATTTTATTTTTACTGATGTGTTAAAGATTTTTATAAATGTGATTGCTAGAATATGACATCTTCAGATGAAGTACATTTACTTCTGCACTTGCTTTTATAAACAATAAGTTAACTTTTGAGTAGTAGTTTATGAAATACAAACAGGAAGGTGAAAAGATTCCTGTGTGAATATGTAGTCATAAGAGTTATAACCTTTGAAGTGTACTACTATAAAAGAATAGTATAGTTGAGAGATAAATATTGTAGCATGTTAACTGAAATAGCTTAATTTAAAACATTAAAACAGATGCTTTGTATAACTTCCATATATATAGTTATATACAAATCGTTATAAAAAGATACCTTCACACTGGAGTCTCATAATTTTTCAATAACAATCAGATACAAAAGTATAACTCTGAGAATCATATATTTTCATTATAGTATAATTTTCCAGAGTTCTTTATGTCAAAAAAACTTCTTTGTTATCCTCACAGAATGTTTTCCCTTGGGTCAGGAACAAAGAAAGAAAGAAGAAATCACAACATCAAGCATATCTTCAACAACATCCGGTTAATTCCCCATAAAATTAACAATCTCCGGATAATTGAAGTTCATTGTTCTTCCCAGCATTATCCAAGGGCTCTTAAGTGATTTTAAGACCATGAAATCCTAGGAAAAGGTGAATTGAATCTAAGTTAAAAGGATTGCAATTTACCTTGTGAATCGTTTGCTTTTGTTCTCCTATTTTCGTCTCCTTAGATGGTCTTCACTTCAAACTTCCGTAACCAGGTTATGTTTGGGCTTTAAAATACAGAAAATGGTTTGAAGAAGAAGGGGTGTCCGTTGGTTGCTACCATTGAATCCAGAATTTAAAGAAATGAAAGCACATAGAAGGAAGGAGAAGATGAGGATGAAATCACAGTGAATTGGCAATTTACTTTTATTTTTATAGGAACAGAAATAATTTTCATTTTAACGTTGAATTATCAGACATCAATTACTGTTTTAGTAAAAGTCTTTGTATTCTGTTTTACTTAGAGAGTTTAAATGAAAAAAAAAATAATACTTTTCCAGGTCCTAAAAAAGTGAAGATTCATTGTAATCCTGTTTTTTTGTGGATTTGAAACGGTGCTACATACAGAGCATATTATTATTCTTTATAACTTTCCTGATTCTTTTAAATCCCATTTTTTTAGGGGTTATCTTTAATTGTCATAAAGAGGAGATAATATATATATATATATATATATAATATATACACTTTTCCTGGCAAATCATTACTACAAATCAAATTTCCAGAACAAAAAAAGTATACTCCATAAGCCCTTTTTATATTCATATAGCATATAGATTCTGAGATCACCATATAGACTGCATTGAAGTAAACAATGGAAGAGGCTTATGATCAATTGATTAGTGTTCCAATAAACATTCACAGAAAAGGATTGGTAAGTCCTTTATAATTTTCTAATTGTATTCCAATCGATTATAAAAATTCTTTACTGACAACCAGTTTTATGTAAATTATTAGATTCTTAGCAGTAACTTAACTTCACTCCTGAGGCATGTTGGTAAACAGATGAAGATTGATTTCTAGGGAAATCGATATTTCTATGCAAATATCCATATCACTAGGAAGAGGAAATGTCAGTTATATGGATCTGATATGGAAGCTTTTTTCCAGGAGTTTGGTGTATCTTCGAGATCCAAATTAACTTTGTTTATCACAGATCCCTGAATGTGTTACAGTTATTTTATTTTAATTATGATGGATGTGAAAGGATTCACCCAGATGTCAATGCAAGAACTGGTAATCGCTATCTGTTGAGATTAGATCATGGTACATCCAAACAAGCTGTAAGTTATAAGTGTTATTAACTTTTAAAAATTCCTTTGTTTTTTTTTATTTATCTTAGTACTTTACACTAAAAAACTATTTAATAATACATATAACTGGACTAATCAATGGGATTCATGGTTTTCAGGCTATTAAAAAATGTTTCTTTAATGGTATTGATTGGCCTTCAAATCAAACTACAGCAAAGTGTGTTGATGTTAAGCCCAATCAATGGGAGTTCATGATCATGAAGGAAAATAATGAACCAGTAGGTTTTGAAGGCCGGATGTGGGAGGAGTTTCATGACTATTATTATAACAAAATAAAATGTGTGAATGTAATTGTTATTTACATTGGAAATTTGTATTTCCATTTAAGGCTTTTCAACAATGAAGGTTACTGCTGCAACCTAGATATTGTTGATTCAGATACATCTAAAGGTTTGTAGCTACTGTTTTTCTTATAATTAATTCACTGAATTCAACTAACATTATTATCATAATACATATTCTAATACTAATATTAATTTATATTCAGGTGAAGTTGACACAGTGGACTATCTATGCAGCAACGGTGATCCTAACACATTTTCTGCAGTCATGACTGACACTGTAATCCACCATGGCAGATTGGTAATAAAATGTGTTTGATAGTAGTTTACATCCAATAGGAATTCGAATTAATTATTTAATTATAAACAATTTTTTAATCATATTGCAGGAGATACCCTGGCATATAGTACGCCGATGAAGTTAGATGACTACACAAATGCTATTTTATACTATGATGGAGTTCCAGTAATTAACATGCATCGAGCTGTCACTAATGACAATCCACATCGGTTTGTTATTGAAGGTGATATAAAGTACATGGTGGATTTGAAGAAAATACCTTTAGGTATAACTTTAGGGTTCCGTATAGATGCTCGCAAGGCATGTAATAAAGAGTATCTGATTATAGAAGTCCTGTAAAAGTCACTATCTGGTACTTTTTATTTAATTCAGATGAAAACAATGCAATTTTTAAGTTTTTTTATAACATATTTTTGACATACGTGTATATTTTATTTTATATACACTAACAACGTGTAAAAATTATCCACAACATTTTCAATTGGATTATACACTAACAACGTATTTTAGTCAATTATTTACAATGACAGTTAAAGAAAATAAGACTGTGAGTAAATAACCAGTAATCAAATTGAGTTAAAAAATTATCAAAATAAGAAAATCAATATTCAAAAAAAATCAAAGTATTTTTTAAAAAGAATACAGATGTACAGTAGGAAATTATTTTGGATATAAAATAAAAACAACTTGATATGCCATAATTGAACAAGTATATCAGATCCCACTTTTCTAGGATGACAATATTATAATTAATCATATATATTTGATAGACACAAAAATTTTAGCCATATATAGATCAAATTTTATCAAAACTTAAGATACTACTTCACAAGTACATTCACAATCATTATTACACTATTATGTTTTGAATCAAAGAGCTTTGTGAATTACTTTTACATCTACTTTTAGAAAATTTCATAATGGTAAATTCTTCTGCAAAAGAAGCAAGATTGTTCAGGAAAGATTTATTAAAAGCAAAAAGGTTCTCGCTTCAGTCACGCAGAAGAAATAAACAAACAGTGGTGATTTCTATAGTTCAAATCAATGATGTTGTCACTAGCAAGGATGCAAGATTTACCAGGAAATAGATTTTGAAAGGTCAGTTAGATGGAGGTATGCATTCAGATATGATACAATGTCAAAAGCATTCGGTAAATAATACCCAAAGTGGACCGTATCAGTGCTAAACATTCAAGGATGATAAGAAAAAACAAATTATACCATATCAGAACGCATAAGAAGTTGAAATTTCAGTCAGCTGTTGTTCAGAATTCGATAACACCATCAAATTGTTCTGTATCACATGGTATGTTTTCATATATAAATGTGCAGATAATTATATCGGTGTCAGTTTCATATAATTTCATACATATATTTTTCTCTTTTTCCTAAATTATCTGAATACATTACATCTCTGTCTTCATGATTGGTTAGGAACTGTTAACAACTCAAGATCCAACAGGAAGGAAATAATGGACAAGAAGAGAGGCAAACCCATTAAAGAAAAGCAATCTGTTATTATTAGGGGTGGTGTTATTATATGTGATTCATCTCAGATAACAAATAATTTATCAGTCAATGATACTTCACAAGTCCGTTCAAATTACAAACAGAGTACTCAGTGCAGTTTTCAGATGAATAAATTGCAAACAACAAATTGTACAAATGAAACAAATTCATCTGGTATGTCTACAAGAGAATTTTTTTATGAGTTGTGTAATTATATAATTTATAATGATGACATACCTTTAAATTTGCTGTTTCGGAAATACTGAGTATGCAGGAGTCACCACTGCAGCTGACGTCATCTTGAATGAAAATCAATAAACTCCACAAAAAAGCGTTTTCACAAGGAGGAAGAATACATTGCGTCCTGGAAAATGTAAATTAATCAGAAGAACTTATCATACATAAATACAGGTATTATCTTTAATTAACGGCAAACCTCAGTTAAGTACATTAATTTATATGGTTTAACAGGAAACTATCACATATATTATTAACATATTTGTTAAATTCTGTAGAATGTCATGATTTGGGAGATCCAATATATGTATGTGAATTCTGCGGCACTAATATGTGGTACGAAGAAAGGGTCAACAAACAACGAAAACCATTACAGCCTAAATTCTCAATTTGTTGCATGCAAGGCAAAATACATCTACCCCTATTGCAGGAACCCCCTGCTCAGCTTAAGGAGTTGTTTATGTCAAATAATGCAAAGAGTAAACATTTTTTGGAGAACATCCGAGCATATAATAATATGTTTGCCTTTACATCTATGGGTGGTAACATTGTAAACTCAATAAATGATGGTCGTGCACCCTATGTATTTAAAATGCAAGGTCATATTAGCCATCTAATGGGCAGTCTACTGCCAAAAGATGATTTGAGGCCAAAATTTTCCCAGTTATACATTTATGATACTCAAAATGAAATCAGTAACAGAATCAGAGCTTTCAGGTATGTTCAACAGTTTTTATAACAGTTCAAATCCTTAGTTTATGTTTCACAGTATTATTATAGACATAATTTTTACACACTACTGATCAAATGTAATTGCAGTTCGGAGCAGCGTAAAACACAAGCTAAACAACTTGATGCACAGAATGTTAGTGATATACAGATTGCAATGCATGAACACTATGTGTTGGTTAAAAACTATAGGAAGGTACGTGACACTCTTCAGGCAGATTCTTCAGTTGAAATAGACTCAAATTAATTTCAACTAGAGATACGGATGGTAGAACACATAATCTACCAACCGTCGATGAAGTTGCAGCTATACTACCTGGCGATGAAGGAAACGAATCTGAAGCACGAGATATCATTGTTCAGTACAAGTCTGGAGAATTGCAGCGTATCAATGAGCTACATCCTTCGTATATATCATTTCAATATCCATTAATTTTTCCATATGGTGAAGATGGTTTCAGAATAAACATCAAACTTGGAGATCCAGAAGATTTAGAAGGTGAAGATGATGATGAAATTGATGATACTGATGGTGTTGAAGAAGAGTATAAAGGACCACGAAAATGGATGAGTCTCCGAGAATGGTTTGCATTCCGTATACAAGATAGAAACCAGGATTATTCAATGTCGTTATATGCTCGGAGACTTTTCCTACAATTTTTAGTGGATGGATACAGTGTAGTTAAATCAGGAAAAATATGTTGGATCAGAAAAATCAAAGAAATTTGCGCTGTGAAACATATGAAAACATGAAAAAGACACTTTCAAAGGGAAATCAAGATGCTTCAGATGTTGGGAGGGTTATAATGCCTTCTTCATTCACAGGTGGTGATAGATGGAAAAGGGAAAATTACATTGATGCAATGACAATTGTTAAAACTTATGGGTATCCCGATGTTTTCTTAACCTTCACGTGTAACAATAAATGGCCAGAGATAACCAGGTATTGCAACAGCAAAGGGCTTAGGCCCGAAATAGACCAGATATTGTTACGAGGGTATTCATGATGAAGCTTAATTGCATGATGAAATTTATTAAAGACAAAAATATATTTGGCAGACAGGAAGCAGGTACCTTTTTTCCTGCATCAGTTTTTTTTACTATATAATTTCTTTTACATTTATAACTTTAACTAACTTATGAAGAATGTATTTTATCATATTGTACAGCTGTATACACTATAGAGTATCAAAAAAGAGGGCTCCCACATGCACATATAGTTATTTGGTTACATCGAGATGATAAGCTATCAAAACCTGAAAATATCAAAAATTTCATATGTGCAGAGCTCCCTGATAAAAATGACCATCCTATTTTATACAACATTGTAACAGAAATGATGATTCATGGTCCATATGGTGATGATTTCTCCTATAATCCTTGCATGGTTAAACAACAATGTTCAAAAAGGTTCCCTAAAAAGTTCAAAGAAACTACGAGTATTGGTGAAGATGGTTTCCCAGATTACAGGAGAAGAGAAGATGGCAGGACATTTGAAAAAGACGGTGCAACTATAGACAAAAGATGGGTTACTGTTTACAATCCAGTGTTGACTCTTAGGTATCACGCGCATATAAACGTCGAATGGTGCAATCAAACAGGTGCTATAAAATATCTTTTCAAGTATTTGAACAAAGGTTCTGACAGAGTTTGTTTCAAATACACTGTCAATGGTGAGATAATTAGGGAATAATTGGATAAAGGTCCAAAAGATGAGGTTAAAGATTGGTACAAAGGAAGATATCTGTCAGGTTGTAAAGCTGCATGGCGTATGTTTTCATTCCCTATACACTACAGGTCACATTATGTTGAACGTCTAAGTTTTCATATGCCTGGTCAACAGAATGTTGTCTATGATGAGGATGCAAACTGTTGAAACTATTGTCATCAGGGCATCCAACAGGCATTCACAGTTTACTGCTTGGATGGAAGCTAATTCCATTTACCCTGAAGGTAAAAGTCTCACAACATCAATTTTCCAAAATATTTTGTGTGGAAAAAGAAAGAAAAAAAATGGACCCCAAGACAAAGAGGCTCAAGTATTGGTAGAATTCATGGAGTCTCTATAGCTGCTGGTGAACCTTACTACCTAAGGGTTCTACTTAACATAGTCAAAGGTCCTACATGTTACGAAGATATCATGACAGTCAATGAAACAGAATATTCAACATTCAAAGAAGCTTGCTTTGCAAGAGGGTTACTTGATGATGACAAGGAATACATAGACTGCATAAGGGAGGGCTCTACATGGGGTTTAGCAAATCATTGCAGAAACCTTTTTGCACAATTATTAGAAGGTGACATTGTGTCGTAACCTGATCATGTATGAAATGAAACTTGGGACTGTTACACAGAAGACATACCTAAAAGATTGAAATGGTTATATAGGAATGAAGGTAATTTGTTTATATTATAATATTTTATATTTTCCATATATTTTTAAAATTTATGCACCTAATGTTAATTACTTTCTTGCTTTCATGTTAATATACAGATTACAATGTTACGAAATGAAGATGCATGCATTGAAGGACATTGAAATTATTTTACGATCTCATGGTAAAATTCTAAAGGATTTTCCTGGTATGCCATATCCTGGAGACGTGTTCATTGATGATGGTACAAATCCACTGATCTACGATGAATTAGATTATGACAGATCATTACTGAAAAAAGAACATGATGTTCTTTATTCTAACCTTATTGCCGAACAACTGAAAATCTACAAAGAGATATTGGCTGCAGTCAAAAAGGAAATGGAGGTTTGTTTTTTGCATATGGGTATGGTGGAACTGGAAAGACGTATGTGTGGCGTACAATTTCAACTGCAGTACGCAAAGAAGGAAACATTGTACTCAATGTGG